TAAGCAGGCTCCACCCCCAGCACAGAGCCTGACAGAGGGCTCAATCTCATGACCTTGAGATCATGACCTGAGCTGAAACCAAGAGTTAGATACTTAACAGACTGAGCCACCTGGCCACCCCCCAGCAAAAGCAATTCTAGAGGGAAGTTTACAGCAATACAGGCCTACCTCATGAGACAAGAAAAACCTCAAACAACCTAAAGGAACAGAACAACAAACAAAACCTAAAACCAGCAGAAGAAAGGAAATAATAATAAAGATTGGAGCAGAAATAAATGATATAGAAACTTAAAAAAAAACCAAATCAATGAAACCAGGAGCTGGTTCTTTGAAAAGATCAACAAAATTGATAAACCTCTAGGCAGACTCTTCCAGAAAGGGGAGGGGGGATTCAAATGAACAAAATCACCAATGAAAAAATGAAAGAGAAGAAATAACAACTAACATCCCAGAATACAAATAATTTTAAGAGATTATGAAAAACTATATGCCAACAAATTAAGACAACCTAGAAGAAATGGATAAATTCAGAGAAATATAACCTACCAAAACTGAAACAGGAAGAAACAGAAAATTTGAATAGATCTATTACCAGCGAGGTGATTGAATCTGTAATCAAAAAACACCAAACAAACAATAATCCAGGGCCGGACGCCTTCACGGGTGAATGCTACCAAACATTTAAAGAAGAGTTAATACCTATTCTACTCAAAGTATTCTAAAAAATAGAAGAAGGAAAACTTTCAAATTCATTCTATGGGGCCAGCATTATCCTGATATCAAAACCAGATAAATATACCACAAAAAGGAGAACTATAGGCCAATATCTCTGATGAACATAGATGCAAAAATCTCAACAAAATACTAGCAAATAGAATTCACCAATACATTAAAAAAGTCATTCACCATGACCAAGTGGGATTTATTCCTGGGATACAAGGGTGGTTCAATATTCACAAAATAATCAGTGTGATACTTCTCATCAATAAAAGAAAGTAAAAACTTTGATCATCTCAATAGATGCAGAAAAAGCATTTGACAAAGTACAACATCCATTCATGATAAAAACCCTTAAAAAAGTAGGTTTAGCGGGAACATACCTCAACATAATAAAGCCAGACATGAAAAATCCACAGCTGTTATCATTCTCAATGGGGAAAAACAGAGCTCTCCTCCTAAGGTCAGGAACAAGACAAGGATGTCCACTCTTACCACTTTTATTCAACATAGTACCAGAAGTCCTAGCCAAAGCAATTAGACAACAAAAAGAAATAAAAGACATATAAATTGGTAAGGAAGAAGTAAAACTCTCATTATTTGCAGATGATGACACTATATATAGAAAACCCTAAAAACTCTACCAAAAAACTACTAGAACTGATAAATGAATTTAGTAAAGTCACAGGATACAAAATCAATATGTAGAAATCTGTTGCATTTTAATACACTAATAATGAAGCAGCAGAAAGAGAAATTAAGAAAATAATCCCATTTACAATCACATCCAAAACAACAGGATACCTAGGAATAAACAAAGAGGTGAAAAACCCATACTCTGAAAACTATAAAACATTGATGGAAGAAATTAAAGAGACAAAGAAATGGAAAAACATTCCATGCTCATTGCTTAGAACAATTATTGTTTTTTTTTAAGATTTTATGTATTTATTTGAGAGAGAGAATGAGCTAGAGAGAGCATGAGAGGGGGCAGGGTCAGAGGGAGAAGCAGACTCCCTGCTGAGCAGGGAGCCCAATGCGGGACTCGATCCTGGGACTCCAGGATCATGACCCAAGCTGAAGGCAGTTGCTTAACCAACTGAGCCACCCAGGCACCCCTTAGAACAATTATTGTTAAAATGTCCATACTACCCAAAGCAATTTACAGATTTAATGCAATTCCTATCAAAACAACATTTTTTCACAGAACTAGAACAAAAAATCACAAAAGACCCTGAATAGTCAAAGCAATTTTGAAAAAGAAAAATAAAACTGGAGGTATCACAATTCCAGACTTTAAATTATATTACAAAGTGGCAGTAATCAAAACAGTATGGTACTGGCACAAAAATAGACACATAGATTAATGGAACAGAATAGGAAACACAGAAATAAACCCACAATTTTGTGGTCAATTAATCTTCAATAAAACAGGAAAGAATATCCAATGGGAAAAAGTCTCTTCAACGAATGATGTTGGGAAAACTGGACAGGCACATGCAAAAGAATGAAACTGGACCACTTGAAGAGAGCACAGGCAGTAATTTCTCTGACATTGGCTCTAGCAACAGTTTTCTAGATATGTCTCCTGAGGCAAGGGAAATAAAAGAAAAAATAAGCTATTGGGACTACATCAACATAAAAAGCTTCTGCATAACAAAGGAAATAATCAACAAAACTAAATGGCAACCTATGGAACAGGAGAAGATATTTGCAAATGACATCTGATAAGGGGGTAGTATCCAAAATATATAAAGAATTTATACAACTCAACACCCACAAAACAAATAGTCCTGTTTAAAAATGGGCAGAAGACATGAACAGACATTTCTTCAAAGAAGACATCCAGATGCCAATAGACACATGAAAAGATGCTCAGCACCACTGATCATCAGGAAAATACAAATCAAAACTACAATGTGATATTATCTCTCACCTGTCAGGATGACTAAAATAAAAAACACAAGAAACAAGTGTTGGAGAGGATGTGCTGAAAAAGGAACTGTCTTGCACTGTTGGTGGGAATGCAAACTGGTGCAGCCACTTTGGAAGACACTATGGAGGTTCCTCAAGAAATTATAAATAGAGCTACCCTATGATCCAGTAATTGCACTACTGGGTATTTACCCAAAAATAATCCAAAAACATGAATTCAGAGGGATACATGTACCCCTCTGTTTATTGCAGCATTATTTACAGTAGCCAAACTATGGGAGCAGCCCAAGTGTCCATCGAATGATGAATGGATAAAGAAGATGTGGTATAATAGACAATGGAATATTATTTGGCCATAAAAAATAATAAAATATTGCCATTTGCATAAATGGAGCTAGAGAGTATAATGTTAAGCAAAATAAGTCTGAGAAAGATAAATACCATATGATTTCACTAATATGTGGATTTTAAGGAACAAAACAAAGAGCAAAGCAAAGAGAGAGAGAGGGAAACCAAGAAGCAGACTCTTAACTATAGAGAACAAACTGATGGTTATAGAAGGGAGGTGAAGGGGATGATGGGTGAAATAGATGATGGGGATTAAGGAGTGCACTTGTCATGATGAGCACTGAGTGATGTATGGACTTGTTGAATCACTATATTTACACCTGAAACTAAGATGACATTGTATGTTAACTATACTGGAATTTAAAATTTTAAAAAGAAATAGAAGGGAAAAAATTAGAAAATGTTTCAAGAAGGAGGAGATGATATTGAAAGTGCTTAAGAAATTGAGAAAGATGAGGAAGGAGAAATAATTTTTGGATTTGGCAACATGGAAGTTATTGATGACCTTTAACAGTTTTGGTGGAGTGATGGGTTCAGAAGCTCACATTTGAATAAAACACAGGAGGTAAGAGAATTGAATCAAGTATAGACCTCTCTTTAAGGAAGTTGGGTTTTTTGTTTTGTATTGTTTTGTTTTGTTTTTGGTGAAGGGGAGTTGACAAATGGGGAAGTAGCTGGAGGAGAATGTGAGGTCAAGGGAGGGTTTTTTTTCTCTCTAAAAATTGAAGACATGCTTGATATCTTCCTCTCTCTTTCACGCTTCCCTCAAATTTGAACCATCACCAAGTTCTATTTATTTACCTCATAAATCACTCAAATCTATCCTTTTCTTTCAGTTACCACTGCCACCATCTTATTTATCATTATCCTTCACATAGATTACTGCAGTACAAGTTATAACTGACACTCTACCTGTACTATCATCCTCATTAAATCTCTTCACACTTCAGCCAGACATTTTCCAAATACACATCTAATCAAGTTACCGGACCATTCCATCCCATTCACCACTATATTATAAAGGACTTCCCATTGCTTTTAGGATAAAGACAAGTGGCATGACTTTTAAGGCCTTACATGGTCTGCCCATTTCTTCTCCCACTTCTCTCTTGCTTTCACTGCTTCTGCTACACTGTCCTAATCTGGCCTCTAGGTCTTTATACTTGATATTCTTTCTGACTGGAATATTCTTTCTTCTTCATCTCCCTTCCTCCACAATACTCTACCTAATAACTTACTATTTCTTCAAATGCCCAATTCAATCATCCCGTCCTCAGAAAAGCCTTCCCTAACCTCTCTAACCAGATTAATTCCCTTTGTTGCATACTCCCATAGTCCACCAGGTACCTTTCCTTGATAACACTTTCCAAAGTTGTAATTTTTCATTTTCTTGTCAGCATTTTAGTAATGTCTGTCTTCCCTAATAGTGTTTAACCTCCACGAGAGCAATAACAATTCTATGAGGGTAGTGGCTGTGCTTTTTTCCCTTGCCATTATATATACAACACGCAGCATAATGCCTGACACATAGTACCGAATAAATATCTGTTAAGTGAACTGAATTCAGTGAATGAGTGAATCCTAATTGTACCTCGTTAAGTAATGCAATACAGTCTCTTGAATTAATTTAGAAATTTTCTAGTACTTCTGTAAGAAGAAATGGCAATCAGCATTATTTTTTAAACAGTGTTTATGGTGACTAACATAATAAAATAAAATTAAAAAAAAGAAAGGCCATAATTCCTTGAAAAAAATAAAATAAATAGTTAAGTTTGGAATGACTGCATAAGAAGTAGCTTAATTTACATTTTATGAATAAAATAGGTGTAGTGAAATCAGTAACATATAAGAAGTGAATATATATGTTGATTGGTGTTTTAAAAATAAATATATAGTAATTCTGATTTTAAACCTTTATGTACAACTATTAGAAATAATAATTTAAATGATTTATAATGGAACTCATGTTTGATAATAATTCTTTATAAAATATTTTTCAGAGAAATATTTCAAAATTCCAAATTTAAAGCAACTGATGAGAGATGCAGGCAAAGATCATTAAAGGGAAAGATTAAATCTCATTCTCAGTGTGTCTTTATTTCTCGAAATTTTCATACTGGAGGATTCCAATCACAGGTAGTGTATGATATTTTATAGAAATATTTTCAAATAATTTATTTGATACCATGTCATGAACATTGTTGTCTTTAAATTTGAAAGACAGAGTATCCACTGTTATTTTTAAATTTGAGAGATAGTAACATGGAGCTAAATTTAAATTACCCAAACTAGTTAGTTTTTATATTATAGGAAACTGAAAAACTAAAAGAAAATGTCTGCTTTTGTAGTTGCTTCTCTATATCTCTAGCTTAAGCAACTTCTTCCTAGAAACATCGCCAAAGGCAAGGGAAGCAAGGGCAAAAATGAACTATTGGGATTTCATCAAGATAAAAAGCTTTTGCACAGCAAAAGAAACAGTCAGTAAAACCAAAAGACAACCGACAAAATGGGAGAAAATATTTGCAAATGACATATCAGATAAAGGGCTAGCATCCAAAATCTATAAAGAACTTATCAAACTCAACACCCAAAGAAGAAATAATCCAATCAAGAAATGGGCAGAAGACATGAACAGACATTTTTCCAAAGAAGACATCCAAATGGCCAACAGACACATGAAAAAGTGCTGAACATCGCTCGGCATCAGGGAAATCCAAATCAAAACCTCCATGAGATACCACCTCACACCAGTCAGAATGGCTAAAATTAACAAGTCAGGAAACGAAAGATGTTGGTGGGGATGCGGAGAAAAGGGAACCCTCCTACACTGTTGGTGGGAATGCAAGCTGGTGCAACCACTCTGGAAACCAGTATGGAGGTTCCTCAAACAGTTGAAAATAGAGCTACCATACGATCCAGCAATTGCACCACTTGGGTATTTACCACAAAGATACAAATGTAGGGATCCGAAGGGGTACGTGCACCCCAATGTTTATAGCAGCCAATGTCCACAATAGCCAAACTGTGGAAAGAGCCAAGATGTCCATCGACAGATGAATGGATAAAGAAGATATGGTATATATACACAATGGAATATTATGCAGCCATCAAAAGGAATGAGATCTTGCCATTTGCAACGACGTGGATGGAACTGGAAGGTGTTATGCTGAGTGAAATAAGTCAATCAGAGAAAGACATGTATCATATTACCTCACTGATATGAGGAATTCTTAATCTCAGGAAACAAACTGAGGGTTGCTGGAGTGGTGGGGGGTGGGAGGGATTGGGTGGCTGGGTGATAGACATTGGGGAGGGTATGTGCTATGGTGAGCACTGGGAATTGTACAAGACTGATGAATCACGGATCTGTATTTCTGAAACAAATAATGGAATATATGTTAAGAAAAAAAGAGAAGAAGAAGATAGCAGGAGGGGAAGAATGAAGGGGAGTAAGTCAGAGGGGGAGATGGACCATTAGAGATGATGGACTCTGAAAAACAAACTGAGGGTTCTAGAGGGGAGGGGGGTGGGGGGATGGGTTAGCCTGGTGGTGGGTATTAAAGAGGGCACATTCTGCGTGGAGCACTGGGTGTTATGCACAAACAATGAATCATGGAACACTACATCAAAAACTAATGATGATTAACATAACAATAAAAATTATAAAAAAAAAACCCTATGCTCCTCAGATTGGGATTATTACAGGGATGAAAATAAATGACATAAGAAAAACAAAGCAAAATTGCCAGACCCATCAGAGGAAAGTGATTTGGAAATAAGAGGATACTCAGATAACCAAATAATCTAACAAAACCAACTAATTGAAATTAAGTACAACTTAACAAGGATTTATTAAGACTTCATTATATTCTAAGCTCTGGGAACCCCCAGTTAAGGTTGGTAAAATATGCTAGTGTAGTACAAGTGGGAAAAGAAGAAACATAATTAACTTTCTGTTATGTGGTGTCAAAACAGTGTTATATGGACAAAGTAAAACAAGGGGGAGATACCAGTAGAAATGTAAAACTATGATATAACTAAACAAAACAAACATTAGTGGTTTATAGCATCATTATTATTATAGCATTAATAAATGAATAGCAACAAATTGATAGGATATCAAAGTTTCATTATACATATTGAATAAAATTGAACTCAAGTTGAACTCAGTGTTCATTTGTTGAACAAGTATTTTTCAAGTGCCTTAAATATGACAACACTAGGTTTGACACTGAGGCTACATAAACAAATAAGATATGAGTTCAGACCTAGATGAGCCCAAAGTTAGTAGAGAAGAAAAACAGATAAGCTAAAAATTACAGCATAATGTGGTAAGAGCCACAAAATTGAAGAAGTGCAGACAAGGGAGCATAAATTGAGGAAGGCTTCACAGAGAAGAAAGTTTTAGCTGGATTTTGAGAAAGGAATGTAAGTGTGCCAGGAGGAAAGAGAACAAAGGACATTCATTCTATGTTCAAAGGCTTGCAGCTATGAAAGTAAGTAACATATTCAGTAAAATTGTTACAGTGTTTGGGGCCTAGGGTTCATAGAGGGAAGTGGTGGGGAAAGATCCTGAAGATGAGGTTGTGAGAAACCTCGTTTACAGCCTAAGGATTTTGGATTTTACTCCATAGGCTTTACAGATCCACTGGAGGCATTATGGGATTAGGGTCAAGAGCATAGACTGTGGAGCCCGTTGATGCAAGTTAGAATCCTGGCTCTACCACTACTCGCTGTATAATCTTAGGCAAATTACTTAACTTCTGTGTGTCTTTTTCCTCATCTGCAAAATGAGGATGATTTTATTGCCATAGAACTGTTATGGGAAGTAAATGAATTAGTATGTAAAAAACACTCAGAATCGTGCCTGGCCACATAGTGAGCACCATACAAGTTTACCATTATGATTACTTGGGGGTTCTAAGCAGGTGGGTTTAATGATCAAATCAATTCTAAAGATTAATAGTTCTTTGAAATGAAGGGTTGTTTGAAATTGAGATTGCATTGCGGAGAAAAATGTTTCTATGTATGCATTTAGTATTAATTGAATTTACTGAGTATCCAACACATGCTAGGCATTTTGCTAGGTACTGTAGTATAATGATGTCTTCATACCTAATGATAGATACAGACAGATAATTACAAAAATGTCATGAGTACTATCATGGAAGAAGTACATATATAGTAGTACTGTTTAACTGTTTATTGTTCATTCAGCAAATACCTAATAAAGGCTTATATGCCAGGCACTGTTCTAGGCAACTGGAAATTTGGTAGTGAACAAGGAAGACAAGAGTCCCTATTCCCATGAGATTTATAGTCTAATGGGAGAGATAAATAATACACAAGTAAATATAAAATATTAGCCAGAATTCTTGATAGTGATAGGAACCTAATTCAGAAAAAAAGATAGTATGAAAACATGGTATGAAAAGAATAAGGTAGTGCCGACTTCAGCCACAGTCAGTTTCAGTACAAAAGGATTCTTTTTCATACTGCCCCTCTTTTTTTCATCTCAATTTCTGCCTGTGTAGTAGCTTCTTCCTCACCTCCCAGAGACAGGCAGGAGGATGAAAATTATAACAAAAGATATGGCTTAATATTTAGAACTACAGCTTCATTTCTAAAAAAGCGTTTATTGTGAAATACAGCATACAAACAGAAGAGTACCCACAAACAATTTAAAGACTAATAAGTATAATTATTTATACCCACCACCCAGAATAAGAAATAGAATATTACCAGTACCTTTGAGATGTCCTGAGTCTTCATTTATCTCTTACAGTCTGTACCCCCACCCTTCACTGAAGGACCCATTATTCTGTAATTGCAGTTAACCATTTCTTTGCTTTTCTTTATGGTTTTACCACAAATACTATAGGGTCTTGAACAATGTATTATTAAATTTTACATGTTTTTAGACTCCATGTCTAATATACTCTTACCTTTTTGTGCAACATTATGTTTCTGAGATTCATCCAGGTTGGTGCATATACCCATAGTTCATTATAGACTTTTTTATAGTATTCCAATGTATGAACAGATCAAATTTTATGTTTTGCAAATAATCCTAAAATTAAAAGACCTCAAATAGCCAAGGCAATCTTGATAAAGAAGAACAAAAATGGAGGTATCACAATCCCAAATATCAAGATATTCTACAAAGCTGTAGTAATCAAAACAATATGGTACTGGCACAAAAGCAGACATGTAGATCAACGGAACAGAAGAGAAAACCCAGAATGGATCCACAACTATATGGTCCACTAATTTTTGACAAAGCAGGAAAGAATATACAACGGAAAGAAGATAGTCCCTTCAACAAATGGTGTTGGGAAAACTGGACAGCAACACACAAAAGAATGAAACTGGACCACTTTCTTACACCATACACAAAAATAAATTCAAAATGGTTGAAAGACCTAAATGTGAGACAGGAAACCATCAAAATCCTAAAGGAGATCACAGGCAGCAACCTCTTTCACGTTGGCCATAGCAACTTCTTACTAGACATGTCTTTGGAGGCAAGGGAAACCAAAGCAAAAATGAACTATTGGGACTTCATCAAGATTAAAATCTTCAGTGTCATATCTAAAACCTTTCTCTAATCTAAGGTGTAAAGATTTATGTCTATATTTTCTTCTAAGAGTTTTAATAGTTTTAGCTCTTACATTTAAATGTTTAATCTATTTTGAGTTAGATTTTGATATGGTGTGAGGTATGGGCCCAACTTCATTCATTTGCATGTACATATCTGGTTGTCTCAACACCGTTTGTTGAGACCTTTCCGCAATGATTGTCTTGGAACACTTGTCAAAAATCAATTGACTATGAATGTGAACTTTTATTTCTGGAATGTCAGTTCTATTCCATTGATCTATATATCTATCCTTATATCAGTACCACATCTTCTTAACTATTGTAGCTTTGAAGTAAGTTTTAATTTCAGGAAATTCTCCAACTTTTTTTTTCATGATTGTTTTTGCTATTAAGTTTTACATTTTATATTTCTATCTTTGCTCCACCTTTAGTTAATTTTTTTAATAAGGTATGAGGTGTAAGTCAAAATTCATTTTGGGGACTCCTGATGTCTAATTGTTCCAACACTATTGAAAAGGCTATCCTTTTTACATTGAATTGCTTTTGCAACTTTTGTCAAAAATCTGTTGGAAAAATATGTGTGGGTCTATTTCTGGATCCTCTGTCTGTACTGCTGACCTGTGTGTCTATTTCTACCAATACCACACTCTAGCTACATAGTAGGTCATAAAATTGAGCACTATGTTTCCTCCAATTTCATTTCTTTGTCAATTTTTTTAGCTTTTATTGTTTTTTTGCCTGTTCATGTAAGTTTTAAGATAAATTAATCTCTAGCTACAAAAAGTCTTTTTGAGATTGTGATGGGAATTACATTTAGTTTATAGATAAGATTGGAGTGAATTGCCATCTTTACTACAACTGATATTTATATTGATCTGTGTTCTGTGACCTTTATAAATAAATTTACTTATTACTTTTAGCAGTTTTTTTTTGTGGACTCCATAGGGTTTTCTTCAACACAATCATATCATCTTTGAAAAACATCAATTTTACTTACTTTCTAATCTTTATGCTTTTATTTTTTCATCTTGTTTTACTGGGTAAGGCCTCATGTATAATGATGAATAGAAGTGTCGAGAACAGTTATCCTTTTTATATCCCTGATCTCAGAGAGAATACATTCAACTCTTCACCAGTAAGTAGAAGGTTAACTATGGAATTTTTGTAGATGCATATTGTCAGGTCAAGGAAATTCATTTCTATTCTTAGTCTAATGAGAGTTTGTTGTTACTGTTTTTTTAGTCATGAAGTTTGCTGAATTTTGCCAAATGGTTTTTCTGCATCTTTTGACATTGTTCACATGGATTTTCTCTTTTGTTAGTGTGAATTACATTGAATTTCAAATGTTAAACGAACCCTGTATTCCTGGAATAAACCCCATTGGATTTGACTTACTGATATATTTTAAGTCACTTTTGCATCTATGTTCATGAGGGACATTATTCTATAATTTTCTTATCTTATAATGTCTTTGTTAGATTTTTTAAAGAATTTATTTATTTATTTATTTTAAAGAATTTATTTATTTATTTGAGAGAGAGAGAACAGGAGCAGGGGGAAGAACAGAGGGAGAAGCAGACTCCCTGCTGAGCAGGGAGCCTGATGCTGGGCTCAATCCCAGGACCCTGGGACCATGACCTGAGCTAAAGGCAAACGCTTAACAGACTGAGCCACCCAGACGCCTCTCTTTTTTGTTAGATTTTAAAATCACAGTTATTTTTGTCACAAAATAACTATGAAATGTTTCCTGCTCCTCTACTTTTTGAAAAATGTTTGTGTGTAATTGGCAATACTGCTTTCTCGAAGGTTTTCCTAGAATTCAGCAATGAGTTCATCTAGGTCTAGAGTTTTCTTCCAGAGAAAGTTTTTGACTATAAATATAGGACCTTTAATAGATATGGGGCTATTTAAATGTTTTATTTTGTATGTTTTAGAAATTTATGTTTTTCAATGAATTTGTCCATTTAATCTAAGTTGTTAAGTTTATTGGCATAAAGTTTTTAATAGTATCCACTTATTATCCTTCTAATATCTGTAGAATCTTTAGTGATGGCCCTCATTTCATTCCTGATTATATCCTAAATCAGTCTTGCTAGAAATATTCAATTTTATTATTCTTAGACTTTTTTCTTTTATAATATAAACATCTAATATTTAAATTTTCCTCTAAGCATTGCTTTTGCTGCATCCCACAAATTTTTATGTTTTGTTTTCATCATTTTTCAGTTTAAAATATTTTAAAATGTCCTTTTGTCCTCATCCATGATATTGATATTTTTGAAGAATACAGTTACTTTATAGATCATAGACTCATTTTGACTTTCCTTGTGATCAGATTCATTTTATCACATCTGAAGACATACAATGTTCATCTGCTTTTCACTAATGATTTTAGTTGATCACACATGATGTCTATTCTTCACCCATTGTATTATTCCTGTTTTTACCCTAGCAATTAAATAATCTGTGTGATGACACTTTGAACCAAGTAACCATGAAAATATCTTTCTTCATCAAACTCTACTTACCAGCTATATAATTTATTCTTGCCTGAACTAATCTTTACAGAACTGTAGCAAAATAATGTTTTTCTAATTCTACTACTTCCATCTTCCATTTGGCTTTCTACTATAAGAAAAAAGCTCTCTGTCTTTATTTGTGTAGACTCATGGGTTTCTGTGTTATTCAGCAGTTAATAATCCATTACTACACTTATTTTGATGCTCAAATTTTCCCAAATTTAACCAGTAGGAACCCCTTCAAGGATGTTTCCCTGTCCTTTTTTATATGTCCCTGTCATTTTTTTGAGCCCTTACTTCTGAAATTATAGCATCATTTTTAATAGTTGGAAGAATATTGATTGTATTACTATCTATGTATCATAGTACATTTAAGTATTTCTTTTAGAATTTTAAGTTGCAGACTTTAAAAATGCTTAACAATGTTGTAAAGAACATTCTGGTAACTGAATATTTACATAAACCCAAAATTATTAACTTGGCATAATACATTTCTAGAAGTAGATTTGTTATATGGCCCTCCGGAAAAAGTCTACCTATTTATAAGTAGCAATATGTAAGAATGTTCATTTTGCTAATCCCTTAAATTTGGGTGGAATTTCAGTCTAGGGCCTTATTCCCTGGTCCCCAGACCAGCAATATCATCATTACCTGGGTGCATCTGTTAGAAATGCACAATCTCAGACCCCACTCCAGACCTACTGGGTTATAATCTGCATTTGAACAAATTCCCCAGGTAAAATATAGGCACATAAAAGTCTGAGGGGCAGCATTCTAATATAATTTCTATAGGCGTCACAAATTGAATTGGTCCTAAGTCCAGGCAAGGTAAGTCAGGAGCCTATACTAGCATTTATATTATAAAAGGTAAAAGTGACAAATAAGTAAAGTTGATTGTGAAAAAAGTACTTATGTGTTATCCTATATACATATAAGACATATATGAAATATATATATTATATACATAATATATATACACACACACACATGCACACACACATACATACCCTATATATATGTATGTCTTAAGCAAACTATTTGGGGGGATAGGACAATGCAGATCAGCATGGAGTACTAACACTGTTCTCCTAAAACAAAAGAAGACAATGTTATTTTCTTTCCAACCTCATCTTTGCCCACTCCATCCAAAACACCCTATGCAGTAGCCCACTGTTTATCTAGTGGTCTAAGGAAAACCTGAATCAGAACCACTTGCAGAGTGTGTTACAATGGATATTCCCAAACCCCTCCCAGAGAATCTCTTTTAGTAGGGTCTGATATTACCAAGTATCAGCATTTTAATAAGCACATCAGGTGATTCTGATGCCCTGGAGTTTGAAAACTACTACACCACGACACTTCCCAGAACACATATGGAATATATTGTTTGAGCAACTGTTTTATTTGCTTCAAAAGAATAGCACATTTTTATAAAAGTCTTCAGCCAGAATTCACTTTTTTGTTGTTGTTGGTTAATGAAATGAGTAAGTCTAGGAATTCTAACTATTTTTTTAGGCCTCTCTAGTTCTAACCAAGTGACTCTGAGTTAGTGAGGAGGGGGAGAAATAATCCTGATGAACTCTATTTCACCCTTTCATTCCCTATCCTGAGACTGCCTTCTTGAACCAATTCACATTCTTTCCAGATGATACCTAAACACTTTTCTTTTCTGTCAGTATATTTTGGTGAAATAAACTCATCGTGGGAAAAAAATTCCATCAAAAACTTATTATGTAGTTAAAATATATATTTCTTATATAAATATACGTTAAATATATTAAACAAATTACATAGAAACCATTCAGTTTATTAAATACAAATAACTTTTTTTATGTAGGAGGAGCAAAGAAAAAAGGAAACAGCACATATAAAAGGTAATTTTTCTCAACAATTTATTAGAAGAAATCATGATCAACTTAAAGCAATTTGCATCTTAAAGAACCAAGAGGCCTACCTAAATGCTATCTAAATATTGTTTTAATATGATGGAAATTCAAGGGAAACATTAATGTGTTAGTATGTGCGTGGGCATATATTTCTTAAAAAACAAAACTTGCAATGTCGCATCTTAAGGTAAAATGTGAAATTTACATTTTTGTTCCTTATTTATACCCAAAAGTATCACAGTCAGGGGCACCTTGGTAGTTCAGTGGGTCGAGCATCCAATTCTTGATTTCAGCTCATGTCATGATCTCAGGGTTGTGAGATCAAGCCTGGCGTAGGGCTCCACGCTGGGCATGTAGCGTGTTTAAATTCTCTCTTTCTCCCTCCACTCATCCCCTCCCTCTCTCTCTCCCCATCTCTTAAAAATAAAACAAAAACAAAAACAGAGGAAGTATCATAGTCAATGCCATATGGTAATCCTAGAGGGTCAAAAGACATGGGTATTTTATAATCCTTTAGATATTGCATGTGATGTCTTAGTACCTCAAAACATTACCCTCCTACATAATATAAGAAATGTTGGATATATAAAATGTAATAAGGTATTTAAAACAGCTTTAAAAATAATATTGTACATTAATTTCAAAAGTCAATATGTAAAATATTATAAAAGGTACTTAGGATACTATATAGTGTGATGTTTTCTAAAACTTAACATTTTTAAATATCAACTGTGCAGCATAAATAATGTAATAATGGGAGAAGCATGAATCTTAGAGTACTAGAAGTCTAGGTGAAGTCTGTTGTGTATCTGATTTGTGGTGAGTCATCCATCTCTAAATCTCAGTCTTCTCCTTTATGAAGTGGTTCTAATAATAACTTCCTTGAAAAATTATTGACAGGATAAATGAGATATGGAAATATATCAAACTGCTTTGCATATTGTAAGACACTCTAGGAATATTTGTTACTTTAATTGGTGTAAAGCCAACCCATAGGCCCTTCCCACTGTGGACCAAACATTTTGTAATCTGCCTGCTTACAGAGGCATGTATTTTTTAATTTATTTTTTAAAAATCAGGCAATACTTATCTATAAATATTTAAGAAACTGTGTTTTCTGATATTAAGGGACATTCCAGAACTGAGCCTTCTAGCCTATTTAAAATCTTCTCCTATTAAAGCAGATTGATTTTATTTAGAATAGCCTTTTCTATTCTTCATTATTGTGAAATTGTTAATCCCCAGTTACATATTTAACATTGCACAGATGATGATAGCAACTCAGAATTTTCACTATTGCATCCTCCTGTCCATTTTAACCCTAAAAAGATTCTGAATTTGAAAAAGAAATATTGTCCTTATAAGTAAGATTTGGCTAATGAATATGTAATATTCATAGTAAATCTAATTTTCTTTTACAGTAATAAAAGATCACTCTAAAGATGAATTCTGCCTTGCAACAAAAAAGGTCATTTGTGACCCCTCAGAGACTAGCTCGGCAACACATCCCAGCAGTGTTACCTTAAGCTTATCAACACTACCATCTGATTCTTATTACAGCCAAAGTATAGAAGCAGCTGATGACTGGTTTTCTGATGATACTCTAGCAAAAAAGAACTCTCCAGTTCCTTTTCTCAGGGAACCTCTAATGGAAAAAGTATTTTCATACCTGTCAACAATTTCATTAGAAGATTGTACTGAAAATGTACTGAATATGACACTTTATGATGATCAGAAAGATGACAGCATTAAGGAAATATTTTCACGAAGAAATACAGAGGTTGAAATACAAAACCTTCAACATAATATTGAATGACTTTTTTTCTTTTGAAACATTGTATATACTGAAGTCATGGAAAGTTAAAAAGGAATTACCAGCTTCTGAGGTTCTTAACATGTCCATACTAATATTAGTTGTTCGTTACCATAGAGTGGTCCTACTTCCCTTGCCAATTCTTATTTCTAGAAACAAAATTACAGGAAGCAGTAGAGTGACATCATGAACATTAAGCTCAACTCCTTGTATCTCATCAAAGGACATAATAAATAATATGAATGTATTTCAGCATACAAGAGAAATACTTTAAGAAATCTTCAGCACAAATAGACTTTTGAATAAAACACTCACAGCATTTCCTTATACTTCTGACATTTTCAATTTTATTTCAATATGGGTAGGGCTGGGCAGAATATTTCCATCAGCTTTTCTGAATTTTAAATACATAAATTTCCTATCATTCAAATTTTATTTTGTCATGATTTTGGTAAACAATATAATTTTGCTCTTCTAGGGGAGCCTGGAACACTGAAGAATCCAGAAAATAATTTTCTTTGCCCTTTCCTATGTCTGCTTCTCAAAATGGTTTCCCGATCCTTACTCCACTATGATGGCAATGTCGGCAGCTATGTTCTTAAGCAGCTGATTCAAGCTGGATGAATCAGAGTTCCTCTCTAATCTGAGAAATCCTTTTTTTTTTTTTACATATTTTTATCATTTTATTAGGAATAATTCCAAATGGGTTATGAAGAAAATTTACTGAGTTTGATGAGTTTTCCAAAACCTCTTAATGAAGATAATCTGAGAGACCCTTGGTCAGATTTCTATGTTTGGTCCTGAGGAATTTCTGAAATCCACCATGAAATTAAATTTTTTTCCCTTTCTCCTAAATACTCTACATGTAATCAGTCTCTCCTTTTCTTTCTTTCTTTCTTTCTTTCTTGGAAAATGATTAAATATAATATTAAGTTTTGTGCTTAGGTTACTCATGCCAGCACTTGTGCTTATCTTCCCAAGAGATAAATCATACCTACTACAATAAATGAAAAAAAAATTGTCTCAGTTAAGATAGTAGCATTACCCATGTCTACTGATTCTGTCCCATGGGAAATATTAAAAAAGATTAGGACACCGCTCTCTTCTGAACCACCTCATTGTTTTACTAGTTACTGGTTGTGAGAACATCTCTCTAATATCCACTCCTACATCTAAATAAGCTATTTGAACTCAGGGTCTGTAAGGAACAGCATATATGGAAATTGTTCTCTGTGTCTTGGTGTCCCAGAGTCCCTCTTCCTATCCCAGAAAAGTCATCTCGAATTTGGTAAGATCTTAAAACTTTCCTAGGAATTTGGGATTGAAGATAAGAGAGTCTAGCTTTGAACTGATTAGTCTCTGGAATAGAGGAAACAAACTTGGGAGCTATGGGCTGCCATGTCCCACCTTGTGGTTTGGGAAGGAAAAATAGCAGTGAAGCACTTGCAAAGTAAAAAGCAGAGAAGAGAAATCAGGAGAATGTGATTCCTGCTTTCTAATAGTCTTCCATTTCCTTGTTCCAGCCCTTCATGAAGCCTGCCCTTGGCTTGGTATGGCACTCTTGTATCCTAATAATAAATTCCCCTGTCTGATTAAGCTAGCAAAATTTGATATTTATTAGTGTCCTGTTTTTAACTGTTGTTCTGGGCTTTGGTAAGGTACCCTTGTAATTTTATAATAAATTATCCTTTCTGCTGTTACTACGACCAAAGCATCCTAACCAAATTTTTGTCATTACAAATGAGAAATAAAGAGATCTATGCATATAAAGTAATTGTTATATTGTCATAGAATAGATTGATTTATTTCTCAAAACCTAACACACTTACTTGTTATTAAAATGTTATTCTATATCATAGCTATATAATTGTTCTCTTTGAAAAGACTAATGAGCAGTACACATGAAATTAAACCAGTCTAAAATAATCTTATTTTCAAGAACTGTGAAGGATCTGAGATTTCACCATGTATGCCCTCTGACAAGTTAGCCTTCAATAGTTTTGTGTCTCTTGGGTCAGTGACAAAGGACAGTTTATTATTCATAGCAGTAGCAAGGGTAGCTTTTGAAAGAGGCTGACATCCATGGAATGGATCATCTTGTCCACTTAATTATTAACATTTCTTCTGATATTGCTCTTTGGGGAACATTTACTTAAGACTCACTTATATTCATATTCTATGCCCATTCAGAGAAACTTACCTACATATATCATTCCTAGACTCCTTGTCACTAATTTTCCAATTGTATTCCTTACAAGTCCCCAGCCATTCTGCCAAACCATTACCCACTGCCAGTGAATCGGTAAAACTCTATACCTCGGCACATTTATCCTTCCAGGCTATACAGCTAGGTCACTGCTCGAAGTTATGCTTACTGAAATTTTCACCACTGCCTATCAAGGCCATACATGAGCAGGGCTCTGGTACTCCATCTGTGAACTTTGAGATGATGCTGACATATCATGTAGAACTGTCTGAAAATCAGGCTCGAGTATTTTTTTTCTCAGTCAAATGATGGTAAGTAACTCTACTTGATGCCATAGGTTATGTGGTGAGAGAGAGAAGACCATGTAGCTGGAGTAAGAGCCATGGGTATTTAACCATTTTCTTATGCAGTTTCTTTGTGCTTTTAAGAATCTGCTCAAATGCAATTTTATATATCCTTAATGCCATTTGTAATTGAGTGCAGATCTGCATGCCTAACTTTATGTCTTAGCAAATCAGACAACACCAGTTCATGGTGAACAGTTGAACTCAAAGGTAAGTTGGTGGCCATGGTCACATGTTAAGTCCCTACTAGTCTAATAGTAAGCCAGAGGATGTTTCCAAAAGACTAATTATTGGCAGGTGATAACATAGCTTTATTTAGAATCCTGTAGACTCTTGTTAACCTGGAGTTGCCTGCTAAAGTCTCTATAGAGTATATCTATTTGCTACAAGCACTTCACATAGCATGGATCTGCTATGTGGCAGAACAACTAACTTAGCAGCCTGGATCTGTTGCAGAGCTTTCTATTCTTCCAGGCCATATTCAGAACTGGAGCCTCTTTCAGGTTACTTAGTAAGTGGGTCCAAGTCGCACATCCAAATGAAGTATATGTTACCTTCAATATCCAAAGGAGCCCACTATGCATTGTGCCTCTTTCTTAGTGGTTGGAGGTATCCGATGCAGCAACTAGTCTTTCACTTTAGAAGGGATATCTGGACATGCTCCAGACCACTGGATGCTTAGTAATTTTACTGAAGCAACAGGCCCTTGAATTTTGTAGAATTTATTTCCACCCTCTGGCATGCATATATCTTACCAAATTATCTAGGGTAGTTACTGATGCTTGTTCACCATGTCCAGTAAGCATGATATCACAAATGTGGCGTGGTGTCCACCCTCTGGCATGCATATATCTTGCCAAATTATCTAGGGTAGTTACTGATGCTTGTTCACCATGTCCGGTAAGCATGATATCACAAATGTGCTGTGGTGTCCATTTGTATGGAATGAAGATTAAGGCCCATATATACTAGATTATGACAGAGAGCTAGAGAGATAATCTAGCCCTGCAGTAGAACAGTGAAGGTGTTAGTGCTGACCCTTAGAGATGAAATAAAACTGCATCTTGTGGTCCATGCTAACAGGAATAAAGAAAAAAAGTATTTAATGGAGGAATAGGTGAATAGCATATACAAGATGCTATTGTGAGTAGGTGAATAGCATATACAAGATACTATTGGTGATGCATATACAAGATGCTTCATTGGTGGAGCAAATCATTTGCTCCACCAATGAAGCAACACCAGGAACAGTAGCTATAATTAGAGGGACTACCTGATTAAGTAGTTTGGAACAATCCATTTTCATTTTCTAAGATTTATCTGTCTTCTGCACAGGCCAAATAGGCAACTTGAAAAGAGATATGACAAGAATCACCACTCCTGAATCTTTCAAGTGACATTAGTCTCTAATCTCTCTATGTGTATTGCTTTTGGTTTATTATTTTGGGAGGGGGAAGCAGTTCTAGTGGCTTCCACTTGGTTTTTGCTACCGTACTAGCCCTCATCCTATGGGTTAGGGAACCAATGTGGAGATTTTGCCATTTGCTAAGTATGCCTATTCCAATTATGCTTTCTAGGACTGGAGGAAATAACCACGGGTTTGGTTTGGAACCCACTGGGCTCACTGAGTTGGACCAATCTAAAACTACATTAATGACCTCACCTCCATAGGCCCCTGTTTTGACTAGGGGACCACTGTGACATTTCAGATCTCCAGGAATTAGTGTCAGTCACAGCCAGTATCTGGTAATCTATTTTTTTAAATCTGGATATTTCCCTTAGCCCAATGCACTCTCACACTGGCAAATGGCTGCAAATATTTGGGGGAAAGTGTAGGAGGAAGATTTACTATGTAATAAAATTTGCAATGTAAATTTTTAGCAAAGCAGCTGGGCCCTTCCTCAAAGGCCATCTTTTATCTAAAAGGCTCTGAGCCTGAGAACTAGCTCAAATCTGGGAACTGGTTGAGGAACCACATCTCTATATAGTGATGATTCAACTTAGAGCTATTTATCAGTCTTAGAGCTTTTTCTCTTACTTGAATCAAGTAAGCTTTTATAGGTTAAATCTGTCTCCACTGTGGTAGACAATAACTGAAGTATCTGCTTGGCTCTTTCAGCTCTCCAGCTGTTGTTTTGCCCCTGGATACCGTGGATTTTCACCTATGCATGTAGTAGTTCAAGAGTGAGCCATGGCAGAAGAACTGAAGAGAAATTTTTCCAAAGAAGACATACAAATAGCCAACAGGTGCTCAAAGTCACTAATCATCAGGGAAATGCAAATCAAAGCCACAAGATGTCACAGATGTCACTTCACACCTGTTAGAATGGCTAAAATAAAAAACAAGGATGTGGAGAAAAGGGAATCCTTGGTGGGAATGTAAATTATTACTGCCATCATGGAAAATAGTATGGAGGTTCCCCAAAGATTAAAAGAACTACCATGGGCGCCTGGGTGGCTCAGTTGGTTAAGCGACTGCCTTCGGCTCAGGTCATGATCCCGGAGTCCTGGGATCGAGTCCCACATCGGGCTCCCTGCTCAGTAAGGGAGCCTGCTTCTCCCTCTGACCCTTCCCCCTCTCATGTACTCTCTCTCTCTCATTCTCTCTCTCTCAAATAAATAAATACATCTTTAAAAAAATAAATAAATAAATAAAAGAACTACCATATTGTCCAGCAGTTCTACTTCTGGATATAT